AAGGAATTGATATTTAAATCAAAACAAAATGAGTTTGCAAACCCTCCAAAGGAACAAACACTGCTACAAATCAAAGAGCGTAAAGAAACTTCTGACATATCAGACTTATTACGCCAAGAAAGTCAACTGAACTTTCGGAAGGATGGTGTAAGATCATCCGAATCCAAGTCTGAAATACTATCAAACATTTCAAACAACGCAGGTGAGAACAATGCACAGTAAACTTTGATAGAGAAAGCTGTCAATTTAAAGATGAGAGTCATGAAGAGTTGCTTTATTACGTTTACAAAATCTTCAATATTATCATATTTCTTTAACTATTATATATTATGTTGTAACGGCAAAATAATAAAGTTGGTTTTAAAAAAGTTAAGTAAACAAAATGCTTTAAACAACGTCACAAAAAAGAATTACAATTGCTAACTTCTGTCAAAAAATATAGAAGGTATCACATTATTTACACTTTAACTTCAGACGATTTGAGGTCCAGCAGACAATCTATACATCCAAACGTCGCTTTCCAGGCAGTACTTAGTGCAACCACAGTCATAAATATTGGGCTGCATCAGAAAATCGTGTATGACTCTGTTAACCTAAATCTTGGCGGCGGCTATCATCACCTTTCAGGCATCTTCATTGCCCCTGTATCTGGCATATATCTGTTTTGTACGTCTATATTAGCAGAAGCTCATAAGAATATCGATGTAGGGATAATAAAAAATGGTATTCAGCTTGCTGGTGCTTATGGAGAATCAGGTGGAGACACGTACTATGACCAAGGCTCTGCTTCTGTTGCCGTGCAATTAAATGTCGGTGACGAAGTGTGGGTTGAAAATCGTTGGCCAGCAGACGCACAAATACATGGTCAAGGTTTGCATACAAGTTTTACTGGGGTTCTTGTTGTGCCAATGTTAAATGAATAATAATTAGTTGATTAAAGTTTGTAAATAGGTCTGAATTACGTTATCGCTTCCTAAATTGTGTCTGACGATTGACTTATTCCTCCCTGTACATAAATAATTTATATGGTGTACACAGATTAAAATGGTATACCAATTTAATGTTCCTTAGGCGGATCATATCAATATCACACCACGCTGAGAGAGAAAGAGGAAAATGATCAAACGGCATGCTATTTCGACCGAGACGTGAGGGCCGTTTAGTTTTGTAACCATATAATACCATGAATGGGTAATATAGCAAATTAACCGCGTGATGTATTTCTTATAACTTAAATAAAACTAAAAAATTTAAAATCTAAGAATTGTTGAAAAAAACGCAAATTAACCAATTCATATGTTTTAAAAAAAGTTTATGAATAATAATCATGTTTAACTTATCAAAATTACTGAGCTTTAAATATAGTTCTCCGCGTTACTAGCATAATTATCAAAAAATAGTATGAATTACATTTTAACCCATATTGATGTATCCATAATATTTTAAAACAAATTATGAAAATTGAAAATATCAATTACATTTTTACATTAATAACTGAGTGTACATGAGAAATTCGTTTATGCGTTTCATGCGCATGAGTTTACGAAAGAAGTAAGTTCTTGTCCTGTACTCCTTTAGATTTATTGCAATTTAGACACGTGTGTCATTTTAAACTTTTTTTAAGAATGGTCATCGTAATTTTAATATGACCATTTCAATTTTTATTTATATTCAGTTCTTCCCTGTAAATTTTACAGGAAGACAAACTAAATTTCGACAGCCTTCTGCCAATTAAATGTCAAATTTTGACAAATAAATAGACCATAATGTTTCTGTTTTATGCAAGCAAAACAGCCAATAAAAAGCAACAAACAAATTTCCGCAAAACTAATTTGCAAATTTTACTCGGATCCACAAAAAGGCTTTAGTATGCACAATAATAAAAGTATTTGAAAATTGACACACAAAAAAAACCCACCCACCAAAAACAACCAACAAATAAATAAAAAAATGCAGAAACTATATATTATAGATCACCTTTTTGCTACGCCTCGTTTAGTTAAATAATGAAAGACAATAAATAATCATAATTAGCCTGCCTGCGACGTTTTCTTAGTATTGTCATAAAGGCCTGTACTAATTATGGCGATATATTCATATTCTAGTTGTCAATTTGTTAACAGTGAATATCTGTTGCGTTAAACATATCTAATAATCTATTGTATCATAGTTTGGGGACCTTTCTGTTGAAAACGTGTCAGAGTTTAATCGTATAATTATACATAACTGGAGCGCATGTATTAGTTATCCAAAGCATACCCATTGATTGGCTCATTTTTCCTTGAGGTCAATTATATCAGTTAATATACCACGCATTTCTTTCTTTCACTACATGATGTGCATTATAAAGGAAGACCCACGACTGAATGACAAAAACATAAACCTACGATTACTCCCTGTTTAGCATCTAAATTGAAAGACAAGTCATCAGGGATTAGTCGGTATTTAATCATCGCAATCATGTCAATATATTGTCATATTTATTGTCAATCTTTCTTTCAAATTAACAATGTTATTTTTTATATAATTTTGCTATGCGTAGAATAGTGATTTGAAGTTAAATACATGTACTCAACAAAAAGTATAGCAAAAAAAACAAAAACATTCTTAATGACATTCGAAAATAGAAACATTGGTACTAGAGTTACGAATTTTCTGACATAAGAAGTAGGTTACGAAAAGGAACATACATTTAAAGCTTGAAGCCAATCTCTGAAGAAAAAAGAAGTTAATTAAAACAATGTTTTACTGCCCCCAACAAACTTTACAAGATGAGGACGCCGACGCCGGGGTACGTAGAAAATTTCTCCATATACTTAGTTTAGTTGAGTAAAAATGTAACAAAAGAACATTATTTAAAAAGTTGCTTTTCTTTTAACAACATTTATTGTTTTATGGCTGAAAGATAATACATACGACGTGCACAATACAACTTTTAAACAATGTTCAGCTTTTACTTATGTTTCAGAAATATGCAAATTAAGAGAATACGACTTTATTTAAATGGCATCACTATTTCTAACTTTACTTTGACTTTCGTGGACCAACATTCCCATAAGTTGCACTTTTAAAATCACTATTTCTAACTTTACTTTGGCTTTCGTGGACCAACATTCCCATAAGTTGCACTTTTAAAATCTGACATATTTTCCCACTAAGGGCTATCAAATTGACAGACAGGATGAAGTAGAATAGGAAGTAGAAAGGACAATTTTATTCCTATGGCGTTGTACTGGACAGACAATTATGTCTCAATGGACGCTTCTGATATTCAAAAACTCTCTCTTGATTATTATTGTACTGGAATAACAATTATATAAGGGTATGCTGAAACAATAAGTCATTGATAATTTGAACATTCCCTAGCAAATTTAAAGCATCTCATGATTTTACCGGAAACACTAAGAGTACAGTAACGTTGTCTTCTTTTTTTAATGCCAAATAATTATATATTATTGTAATATAATATTGTAAATATTGTTCCGTCTTTGACCTGATAAACAAGGCTTGTGTAATTGTTTTATTAGAGCATTATGTTTAAGTTAATATTTAATATACCCTTTTACATGCAATCAAATATTTTCTGATCTACATAAAGATATACTTTACAAGCAAATAAACTATAAAGAACAAAGGGTCAACTTTTCTCCCGTTCAAGCAAAAATCAAGGGTAAAATGTTAAAAGAGAAAAGAAAATAACCTTGATGAAAAAAATTAGAATGAGAGCATGATTTAAAGCAATTCTTGTTTTGCTGTTAAGAATTGTGCTCTTTTGTTTGTTCATCTCAATCAGCATTGCGATGTTGCTAACTGGCCACCATCTTTGACAGACATGTCCCACGTGGTTATAACATGACCCTGTTAGGGTTCAAATGGCCATGTACATCTTAGTTAAAATGTCAGTTTCAAGCTTAGTCATATCTCAGACAAAACTTAACTCTTGTTTTTCAAACTGAAAATAAAAGTCATCGCTTGTGAGAAACGACGTTAAAAAGGATAAAACAAATATTTCTCAACACTTGATTAGATATTCTTTTCAACTTAAAGTTTCTTAATTAAACGTCAAAATTAACATAATAATACCAATACATTTTTATCAATACATTCTTTTCAACATTGTCACCATTTTTTATCTTGTTAAAACAGCAATTCATCCACGTGAAAATTTAATTAAAAAGATTGAGGACGTAAAAGATTGATAATCCTCCGTATTAACTGGTTACCGGCCATATTAGCCCGAATAATTCATCTAATATTGCATCCCTATAGCTTTGCTTTTTGTGTTTTCTTGGAAAACTGTTTCTACGAAAATTTATTAATTTATTACTTTTTACCTTGTTTTCTTTTAATTCATGTCCAAGTTTGTTGACAATAGAAGACAAAATAAGGAATGGTCGAAACAGACATTTATTCAGTTATAACAAAATACTTGAAATCGAGAGAATTTCAGAGAAAAAAAACGGAATCTTAAGAATTAATACTTAACCAACACTGATAAAGATATCTTGACTTTGACTTTGGTATTATTTAAATCACAGAGGTATAATTGCTCAAAAATGAAACGTTGGTGCACTTTTCTTTCTGAAATGAGTTTAAAATTTCTTAAGTAAACAAAATTACATTTTTGAAAATAATTTCTCTGTTTTTAGGTATCCTAGCACCAGTATGATTAAAAAATGACAACATTTCAATTTTTAATTAACCTTAAGCCTGCTGGTGGCAAAAAATTTTACCCATGTGACCGCTGCAGACCAATAAAAGCTTGCACAACTGTGCTGTCTGATCATAGGCACACACACACTGTTTATTATACAGTCAGTATATATTTGAAATTTTCTCTCAAAATGATGAATGGTTAAGTCCAGATTGAAACAATGAACAAGTCTATTTGAGATATTTTGTGCGGCAAGGTTAATAGAAAGATCTACCTTCATTATTTTATTTAAAATGTACCGCTTGACGTAATACTAGTAAAATAATGATAACACTAATACCGGTATATGCAAATTTTATTTTTTTTTAATGAATATTCAATTCAAAATTATTTCATATGATCAAAATGGATATGGACATATTCAAAAGTGTGATGTTAAAATGATAATGTAAATGTATTCATAAACAAATATTGATATATCTTAAAAACATTTAATTAATGTGTTGAAAGTGAATGTAGTAAAATGCAAATAACACCAGTATCTCTAGGAGACAGGGATCAGAACAATGGACGTCACCTTAGTACAATAACGGAATAAGTCCTGCTAAATCTAATAGGAGTTAATCTTTATTGCATTATGGTGATGTGGTGATTGCATGTAAGTTTTTAAACTCCAGGTGGAACCAAGTTATGAAAGCGACAGCAGAGCATCAATGGAAGAATGCAATGGTAAATGTTTTCAAATAAAGGACGGATATAGCATATAACGAGGGCTTGGTGCGAAAGGGTCGTAACTGATATGAGATAAAGAAGGAGATACAACCCTTTCGCACCAAGCTGTCGATAAGCAGTAACACTACAGACACATAGTTACAAATAGTACAAACCAAATGCAAAAGGAAGTACTAGAAATTGTGTTAAACTTTGATTTCTACAGGCAGGTATATATATGTTATAACACACATCCCTCATATTTTATCCAAAACAAAAATACTGCATCCCTTATCACAAAACGTCTCGCAATTGTTTTTCATTAGAAAAAAACTTATGAAAATAACTTAAGATAAATTGTACTTTGGTGAAAATAGCTGCTGGATTTCATACGATACAATTAATGACAAATGAAAGTGTGATCATATTTGTTAATTAAAGGATATATTCATACTATAAACACATACTAGGTTTATCAATGTACAGTGGTTAGGAAAAGACTACAATAAGCAATACGTTGCTTCCAGTCTAATCCTTTTTTGTACTGATTGTTATTATGTAAAAAAATTTCTTGGATATGACGAATAACATATGTTTACACTGATGTACAATGGTGTACAATGGTTGTCCATTGTATCAGTAATATTTAAAACATTCTAATGAGAAGGGAATTATCTTGGTTACCAAATCCTCTCTGAATTTTTAAATATATCTTAATCCTGAGAAAAAGCAATATGATAACCTCAAAATAAAAACATGTATAAAGATAAATATATAAATAAATATATTGTTACATGTATTTATAAAACAAAAACAGAAATAACCTCTGGAATGCATATGCAATAATTCATAGTCAATACCTCTAGCATTGACAATGTATGATTTAATACTATCTTTCAATATTATAACTTGAACACATATCACATTTTCACTTACAATGTATTTTATCAACAGCCTTGTTGTTATATTCTCTTTTCAATGCAAACATTTCCTATATCAATAACACTTCTCATTTCAGATCCATTCATTTAAATCATTCCTGGCTTCAAAAGCACTTTCCTTTTCAGATTCATAAAAAGAACACTCATAATATCCATGGCAACCAGTATTACAGGATCATTCTAATGGTGGAACATCAGGATTGTCTACAAAGTCCTCACTGTTTGGTCTTTCAACTTTTGTCCTACACAATGGCTTAGATCCAAGAGGTGGTACAATATTGTCTGACTTTTCTTTCACAATTCCTCCAATGTCAACAGTTTTTCTTGCCTTTTCATCTACTTCTAACTTTTCATGTGTTTTACTGGAAAACAAATTATACAATTTTTTTAAATTGTTTACAAATCGAAAAAAAAAACTCAACCTTTTAATTAATCAATTAACCAAATCAAAAGATTCTAAAGTGTCTTTATTTTGTCTAGTGGTAATTCGTATATTCCAGTGAATAACACACTAAAAGGTAAAGCACTACGGGCCAGGAGCTCGTTATTGACACTGATATTATGTTCAACCTGTTTGATGAAGGCGTTCTACCAATTCTAAATTATTTATGGGGTAGCATGCAATCCGTAAATTTGGAAATTGTACATAGGAAGTTCTGTAAATGGTTGCTCAATGTGAAAATGTCAACAAATACTCTTTCATTGTTTGCAGAAGTAGGCCGATTTTTATTATATATTTCACAACATGTAAGAATTTTTAAATATTTCATAAAAATATATCAAAATAAAACAAGCAGTTGTATGTCTAATTATATTTTCAATTATCAGAGAATGGAGATAGTCAAAATCAAATACTGTAAATCGGTTGTCTTAAGTCAGAGCACTTTTACAAAGTACAGCATTTAATGACGTGTGGATGTATCCAGAATCAGTTAAGCTTAATACATTTATACCAGTGCTACATGGTTGTTTAAAAGATATTTATATCACACATTGGCATTCTAATGTACATATTTGTTCTTCTTTGTTTTTGTATAAACATATTAAAACCGATTTTAGCAGGTCTTAATACCTAGATATTGTTGACTCTATGAAATTAAGAAATACATTTGCTAAACTCAGATTATCGTCTAACAATTTATTCATTGAAACAGGTAGACATAATAATATTGATAGAAGTGACCAAAAAAGTTCTATTTGCAACAATAATGACATTGGAGATGAATATCACTTTGTATTGATTTGCTCTTTGTGTGATTCTCTTAGGAAACTATTTTGTAAGAAACTTTTTTTAGAATTGCTGAATTCAGAAAGGAAGTCAGTGTTAACAAAATTAGCTCTATTGTAATAAAGCTTTGAAATTAAGAATTGATTCATTGAATGCCTGATAATGCTATATAAGACCACCTTGTTGTATTGTTTAAAGTTATATAAGGATTGTATATATTACATGTGTTGTATTACACTCTCACTAGTTTATTTCATTTATTGATATGCGTTAACCATTTTTCATATTCATGCATGTATATATTTTTTGTATATTAAGATGAGCTGTATATGCTTAATTCAAAATAAAATATATGTTCTGTTCTGTTTAGAAAATTATAACACAATTTGTTGGTTTGTTGTTTTGTTTCTTTATTATGAGCAAAGGTTTGTGGTAATCTCTTTTTCTGTGGTCCCTTTCAGCTATTCACTGGTCTTACTGATAATAAGTAACTATATCTAAATCATAACAGTCTCATTACTTTGCAATAAAAGGAGTTTCCCTATTCTTTCTTCCTATGAATTTTATTTCCCTGGCACAAAATAAACACATCTCAAAACACATATGATATAATGGTAAATGTAAAGAAAGTACCTAAAACCTTTTAAGCAACCTACTTATTGCATAAAGGGCATTTACATAATATGTTTGTAATAAATATGTAGTAAAACGAAGTAATTTACCTAAATTTCTTCTTCTCTTTATTGTTAACATTTTCTTTATTATCTCCTTTGCTGGAAGGTTTAACGGCAGGTTTTACAATCTGCTTTGCCTGTAATAAATTAAAGTTATAAAAGTTGTGATCTTATTTGTATTATAGTATCTTGATGGCATAGATTTATAATGTGCATTAAACATTGGGGGCAACTTTAACTGCTGCCACCCATCACTTTTAATACAGAAGTTGTGTTTGTAAAAGACAATAAATATTCACATAAAATTTTACTTTGATAGGTGCACAATTGTTATTGCAGTCTTTTCCTATTAGGCATTGAAAAAAGATCTATTAATTTCACATTTAAAATAGATAAAATCAACTTTCATAAATTACTTTATTCTTTGACTTGAAATTTCACAAAAAAAATAGACTTAAAATTCCATTTCAAAGAAAAGATTGAATTAATAAAAGTCCCGTAACCACCAGGCCACTGCAATAGATTTAAAACATACAGTAATAAAGTTATTTAATGACAATTTGATGTGCTTTCAGGCATATGTACACAACAAGATGGTATGCTTTAAAAGATTCTGTGATCTCATTTTCTTTTTCACAAATAACTCTTAAAAACGTTCTATCTCCGAAGAAAAACATCTGGTACTCCATAAAAGATGATTATTGCGAGAAACAAGTACATTGCTGACATCAAAACACAAAGTTTAACATATTTAAAAGATTTTAAAACTGATAATTGTTAAACATATAAAAAAATGGCATAACTATACTAACCTTTGGCATGATAACAAGAAGGTGTCCTGTTATTTTAGATCTCTCACATTTACTGGAGTCAGCATTCACCTCCTGATCTAGTGCCAGTTGGAATATCTGCAATGAAAATAATGTCTTGATACATTTAATTCCTTCCCAGGCTTAATATGTTAAATAGACTTGTCCATCTGTCAATCTGGATAAAACCATTTATTATTTTGGGGAAAAAAAATCCAAAATAAGTACTGACTGAATAGTTAACAGTGTAGACCATGAGCAGACGGCATAAGTGTGACGGCTGATCTTGGTCCACAGTGGTTGCATTGGTAATTTCAATTACTGTAGAAAGGGTTAGAAAAGAAATATCAACATATATTAAAATATATACAGCATATCTTTAGAAAATATGACCTTTAATTTCACTCTATTTTAATGGGTTTTTATTGCTTAAGTTAATTGTGTAAAGATGTATCCTCAAAAGTATGAAATGGGAATACAATTCTACTGGAATAAACAACAGTGATAAAATCCACCAGAGTGGCACACTTGTGTTGTTTTAAATTCAATTATACAATGTCTGTTAAAACGTAAAGAATTATTCTTCTTAATGAATAGGCATGTCAATTCACAACTTGTATTTATTAGCTTATGCAAATACAATGTACAACATATTTCTGTACCTATACATTTATTTCAGTTATGCTACAAACCAATGGTGACATTCAAACAGAATTTTACCAATGAAATATAGATAATTGGTAATAATGGTAAACATGAAAGCACTGTTTCAAAGGCAATGAATACTTTAACAAATTCTAACCTTTCCTTTTGTTTTGATTCTGACATAACTTGGTTGAACATCCACATCTATCAGAGAGGTTTCTAAATATCTGAAAGAAATCAAATCATTAAAATTGCTATTTTCGTAAAAGCATAAGTTGATACCAGCATGTGAATTCATATAACCTGAGATGGTTCAGTTTCCAGAAAACACTGTGTATGTACATGGCAAACTTTCAGGAAACTTGAGAATCTATGGTAAAAACATTCCATTCTTCATGCTTTTATTATAACACATGGATGTTTTTCCTGAGTTAACAACTTTTTTAGGTTACACGAGTCCAGATAATAGGATATAGTATGCAACTGAATATAAATATTGCAAATTTGTACAATTGGTTTTCATCCAACATGTTTTAAGTTGGTAATATCTATAGATAAGAATTTTATATGTACATCAATGTCAAGATCTTTTCACTTATAGAGAAGTAAATGTGCAAACTGCCATGTAGCTCATATCTAGGTGTGCTTTAGACTTGTATTATGATGGCTCAGGGTTAAAGACATTCTGTCAGATATAAATCAATTCAAATGTCAGACAAATATACTTACTTGTAACATTGATAATCAAGGAGGTAGTTATTGCCTGTTTCATCTTCTGTCAGTTTAAAATCTATCCTGGAATTACAAATTATTTAAGTTTAAGGGACAGCTAATGTATGATAGGAGATAAAGGGTTAAATTTGCTTAAAGATATTTAGCCAGTACTGTTATTTTATCAAACTCAGTTCAGAATTTCAACAAAATTGGATTTTCCTTAAGTTAATCAAATACTGGTCAGTGTTATCAAAGGTCTAATAAAATTTTTCTTATGATCTGCAAATGACTAGTTGCAGATAAATTTTGTTAAACAGCAATCAATTTTCAGAAAGAAAGTAACATTTATTATAAATAATTTATAATATACAAATCCAAGCATAGCAAAACATATATTGAAACTACTTATCTAATTTGAAGTACTGATAAACAATAAAATTCAACTTTTTATTAAACCTATACCCTGCTGGAACTTAATGTGATTAGCCTTAGCCACCAGTACAGAGCCAGCCCAACCTGCACATACATGTATGTACAGTCTGACTAGGCTCTATATGTTTTGTACTTTAATGTTGAAATCTCTCAAACTTTGAATTGGCTGTTCTACATTCAATGCTTGGGGAAATCAATTATACAAATTCAGTAGGTTATGGGATAACACACTTGTCCTGTCATCAAGATTTCTTATGACATTTTATTGTTAACCTTAGAAAGTTCTATAAAGAAATGAAAACATTAAACAGCCAACAGTATAGTCTGGTCAGACGACATAATGTGTACGCTGGTCAGACTGGATACATGTGGAAAAGAATAATCACTATGTCTGGTAAGACAATAATGTATATATTCTCAGAATTTGTACAAATATCTTGTTAATACTAGTATGATAAAGATAAAACTTACTTTGATTCATTTACATTAAGAGCTCTCCCTTCTTCATTAAACAGTCGACGCGGAGGTTTTGGCGGGTTTTTAGCCTCTCTGTAATGATAAAAGAAATTCTAATATTACAACAAGGGCAACATTGTCGCAAAATACGCCCGTCACAAAAGCTTTTGTCAGAGATAATATTATTATAGATATGCATATACTAGATATGGTCTGGGCAGACACTGAGCAACGATTACGGAAAGTCCGCGCCGTTGCTTAGTGTCTGCACCGTTGTCAAGACGAAACAAAAAGTAAACCCATTGCGGCAAAACAAGTTGACAGAATAAATGTTTAAATTACACAGATGATTTTATACCTTTACTGTAATAAACAAGAGTATTAATTTCAATATAAGTGTCTCTTGTACGGAGATTGCTTGGGATTCTAACATTAAAACCTTGCACATGATGTGTCATTCAAAAGATTTAAAATTAAAGAAAAAAACATTTAATATTGAGTAAAAACCATTTTGACAACTTCTTACTCTTTTTTTCTCTCTCTATCCTTTTGTTCTTCTTGCTTTTTATGAGATCTGACTCTTTCCTCAGGACTAAACACTGACTTTGATTCCCAGAATCTGAAATGAACAATTATAAACTTTATTGCAATTGTTAAAATTCTGAAATTAGGTTATCCCTCAGGAAAAATAAATAAAATATTAAAGAGAAAATTGGAGACTTGATTTGCTTAAATTTGTTCATCAGAGACAAAGAATATCTCATCATCTCTTCAACCTTTATCATGTCAAATATTTTAAATGGACTTGGTCATTTTTCCTGCTGGATAAAATTATTAATTATTTTTAAGGTAAATTTTCAAAACATGAACTGAGAAATATGACTGAATACTGCATGAGTTGATATATCAGCATGTCAAAAAGTTAGCAAATTTAAAAAGACAGACATTCTGCTTGAGAAAATATTATCGAATTGTGAAAGTGTAGAATTTAATGACAGGTTGGTTGATATCAAGCTAGAAATATTTATTTAGAGATTTTTGTCAATTCACAAACTTCGCTAATATTTCTGTGTTGCTAACTTAATCTCTTATACAGTAGTAAACAGTGCAGACCATTATGAGGCAGCATGAATTTGCTGGTTGATCTTGGCCTGCACTGGTCACATAATTCAGAAAACCAGAAGTATCAGTGCATAAACAAGAGCATGCTCAACTATTCTCAGTCCTTGATAGTAAAACAATAGCCTGGATAATGTAGAATTTTTAAGTTCAAACAAGAGCGATCAGTGATCACATGTGTCGCCTCATGATGACCAATTTCATGTTGGGACAAGTTTTGTGACAGACGGACAGACAGACGGACAGTGCACAACTAGACTTGGTACTGATCATTCCTGTACAGTTTGGATAAAATTGCACCAGTAGTTTATGAGGAGTAATCTGGACAAGCTTTTGTGTATCTGGCAACATACAGAAAAAAACACCTTTTTATAAAAGGCCATAACTCGGCCAAAAATCATTCAACCGGAAAACCCATGCAATATGCTAAAGGACTTGAGCTACAGATCAATCCTGTAAAGTTTCATTGAAATTGCATTTGTGGTATAAGAGAAGTAGTCCGACAAACTTTAAAAATTAAAATTATTAAAGGGCCATAACTCTGACAAAAATCATTGAACCGGAAAATGCTGACAATATGCACAACTAGACTTGGTACTGATCATTCCTGTAAAGTTTGGATGAAATTGCACCAGTAGTTTATGAGGAGTAGTCAGGACAAGCTTTTGTGTATCTGGCAACACACAGAAAAAAACACCTTTTTATCAAAGGGCCATAACTCGGCCAAAAATCATTCAACCGGAAAACCCGTGCAATATGCGCAAGGACTTGAGCTACTGATCAATCCTGTAAAGTTTAAATGAAATTGCATTAGTGGTATAAGAGAAGTAGTCCGGACAAACTTTAAAAATAAAAATTATTAACGGGCCATAACTCTGTCAAAAATCATTGAACCGGAAAATGCTGACAATATGCACAACTTTGGTACTGATCATTCCTGTAAAGTTTGGATGAAATTGCACCAGAAGTTTATGAGGAGTAGTCTGGACAAGTTTTGTGACGGACGGACAGACAGACAGACGGACGGACAGACAGACGGACAGACAGACGACGGAGAAGTGATCCCTATATGTCGCCACTACTCCGTAGAGGCGACACAAAAAAGGGCCATAATTCTGTCAAAATCCGGGCCTTGAACAGTGATCTCAAATTATGCTCTCTAGCAATTGTGAGTTTTCAACCCATTCCCTTAAGTAGAATTGAAGATACACAAAAACTTAAGCAAAGTATAAATCCAAAGAGTAGGTCAACTCTTTTAGATGCACTTTCATCCTTTTGTTATGAATAAGATGAGAATTTGTCAAATATTCAATATATAATGACTTAATTATACTTACTCTTTATCTTTGGCATGCTCTTTTTCTAGTTGTTCTGCTTCTCTTTTAGCTTTTGCTACCTTATCTCTGAAACATTATACAAAAATTATAACTAAGATTTATATACACTTGATTTTATCATAATTTTATAATTATTATGATACTTTGTATTTTGTATTAAACGGTTCACATTGGTTTTATTTTTATGAAATTATGTTTTATTGAGCTAAACTGTTTTATGCAGTTTTATGACCATTATACTGTTTATACATGTAGAAACACAAGACTTTACAACACCACAATTCATTACTGATGACTGAGAGGGTTTAATATTTTACAATGAACCCTGAAGACAATTATAGCATGGTAGTTTACAAAACAATGTTGGAAAATAAGGATTATAAAGGTTAAATTTCTGAACACTTTACTTTTTTCTTTCTTTATTTTTCCTCATTCAATTCACAACATAGCCTGACCTACATTATCAGCATTGAAACAGAATGATGGGGGAAAACTACATTTCTTACAATAGAATAAATCTAGTAAATTTTAAATTTTTCCTCACAATTTCTTCGGGTTTCTTTTAACACAACAAGATAAATATGCATCTATATTCAAATTAAATCAGGAGCATTGCACTCCAAGAGCTTATTTGCATCATTTTTGAATAAATATATTGTAACTAACACTAGAGAGATTTCAATCTTGTGAAAGTGTCAACAGTTAATACTCTAGACATGCCCAATATTGAAAAATCTGAATTAACTGCTTTTACATAGAAAAACAAATCCAGCTGAAAAAGAACAGATACTGTACTCAAAACAGAATTAGCATGTTCAATGACAGATGAAAGATCAAAGGTTTAAGAACTTTATTTTCAGGGCAGGATATTACATGTATATAAATTTTCTACATTTCTATCACATATTGTAGAATTTTATACATACTCTTGATAGGATAAATAGATCAAAACTAACACAATTTATCAGAACATGTTTCTCTTCAATAAGCTTCGTCAGTTGATAAATAACAAAGAAAATGACGTAAGCTTACCAAAAAGACATCTACGTTAATAGATGCCACATAGACGCCACATTTGGCACGTCATAATTATTATAATAAAATAAATCGTCTAATCTGTGTTATATAATAAAATACATACTCTTGATTAATATCAGTGTACCATCTGCCATCATATCCAGGATTTTTCTCTTTCTCTTCCCTTTCATCTGCCTCCTTCTCTAACTTTTCTTTTTCCTCTTCTAATCTTGCCTCTTCTTTCTCCTTTGCCTGAAAATAAAAATAAACCTTTCAACATCCTTGTATAGTATTAGTTATAAAGATTTTTGACAGTTTATATGGCCCCATATAAACGGTTGCTTGGAAGTATAATGGTTATATATTGTACACAATTGTTTATATATGGCCATATAACCTGTCAGGAATCTTTATAACAAATTTATAATGCAGCAAACTTCCTTTTTCAGAGGAAAAAAGCAAGATTTCTTTATAAAAATTCAGCAGCCATGTATATTATTAGTTATGAAGATTTGGTCCTATATAAATGGTAGTTTTGAAATATAACCCAAGCCCCCAGGTGATGGTTATATTGCACACAACCAATTATATACGGCCATATAACCTGTCAGGGATCTTTATAACAAATTTTAATTACAGCAAACTTCCTTTTTCAGACGAAAAAAATGTTATTTCTTAATAAATTTTATGCAGCCGTGTTTGTAAAATCATATAAACATCATGATTATCCAATGAAAAGCAATGTTACAAACATGCAGTATTATAACATAAATTATAGTGTTTTCAAACCATTTACTGAGATTCTGTCTAGTTAAAATATATTAACCATTATATTACCAAAAAAAAAGTATCAATTTTCATAAAGAGTAGCTTTAACTGTCTGAGTAAATACATCAGGGTTGAACTTTCTGTAAAACTTCTACAAAATTGTATATTGCAGTAAAGAAAGAGATTTACTTGTCATTTTTACAGTGTTGTTGATTATTCAGGACTGAAAGTGAAAGTCCCTAGACATGTCAAGTAAAAAGCCATCTAATTTGAAGTAGATTATATAAATGATGATTTCTTTTCGAGATGTTCAGAACTGGTGCACTTAATCTTATAAATGTGGCCAAATGAACAGTTTTACTATTATTTTGCAATAAAACACATTTATAAAATTCTTTCATCAGGTTTTATTCTTCCCGTCACATCTACTTACTTACTTTTAGATTTGTGTAGAGAAAATACAATAAATTTTATTCAATGCACATATTAATCTTTCCTAAATATTCAATTAAAATGTAAATGAATACAAAGGGAAGTAACAACATCATATCTTGCTGACTATTCTATCAAGAGTAACTGAACCTATGTACATACGTCTATTATTCATACTTTAAAGTTTAGATAAGTGTTCGAACATGTTTAACTATACATATTCTCAACAAAAAAACTTGTTCACATAGTTTATATGATCATACAATTCTTTTTTAATTAAAACAAAATAACTCACTCTCTGTTTTCTGTACTCAATTTGCTGAGCTATTATTCTTGCTTTTATAACTCCATAATTCTGAAAAAAATATAAACGTGTGATTTTTACAACCACAAGATTATTTTTAAACATTCCCATGTACTTCATTCTACATCTCTTTTCAATAGTAGTTGTGATATAAGAGGGTTGCTATCAAAGTATGGTGATCTGGCACTTATATTAACTTCGGCAGATTTAGCTAGGCTAGAACCATACCAGGCCAAAAGCGTCATTACAGATTACACATGGATATAGCGTAGGTTTTTTTAATCTGTCAGGTTGTATTTAAGCATGTGGTTTTATGCAGTAAATGTAGGAAAATATATACAAGTATACTATAAAATGTCTGATCTATGCCACCAGTATAGAGACATTATGCCTGACTATGGCATGTATACTGTGGGCTATAAAAATATCATTTCAAAACTGAATTCCTTTTATGTACACTTATATAATAGAGAGTTTTAAACTTGTATTTGTATGTTTATTATAGTTTTTAAGTTGAATCTCCCATATTCTGGTCACATTTCTGTGGTCTGACCACCTTAAACCAGCTTTCCTGGATACCTAACAAGTTAATTACCAAGTTCTGTTAGAAACTAATCATATATAATTTGTGAATCAGCGATGAGAGTCAAATGACCATTTAAGACTCAATGATCTACATCGGTTGCCATGGAGAAAATCTGCCTCGCCTGGAGATCAAACCATCCCCTTGATCATATAAATATCTTACACCTGCTACAGGTACAAACCAGATTATCTAGCTTGAAGGTAACTGTTTGTGGAGGTAATTAGGCTCTGCCGAGTTTCCGCTAAACAGTTACCCGAGAGCTAGATATTCCCTTCTGTGACAACAGCTGGTGTTTGATTCTTTTTCTTGCATACTTCATATTAATCATATCTTGAAAAGAAATGAATATTTTCATGTAGCACTTTTTTCTTATGGTAGTGTATGGATTTACATCTTCATTCATAATGAAAAAATCCTAAGAATACAATTCATTCATAGGCGCATGTAAATGATGTCATTTAAAGCATGTGACTTGTCTTACACAGAGGTGTAAGACAGGATTTTCTAGCACCAGTGTAAACAGTAGATAATCCTGTCTGATATGCAAGGGTAAAAACAGAATAATTGCATCATTATCATAGTGTAATTTATAATGTATATAGTTGAAATAATGCTTACCTGGGTTGCTTGAATTCTTTCTGACTTTTCTACAACTATCCCATCTAGTGTCTAAAATATACAAATATGAGAAAAAAAATTAATAATGGTTTAAGCAATACAATATTTGAATGTATTACAAAGAAACAAAATTACAGAATTATACAATGGCTTGATACTCACTGATTCTGGTATTGTGTCAAACTGCCCTTCACATTATAAAAATATCACAGAGGTATGTACAAGAGTCACATTAATATCACATATCTATTTAGTTAAATACTATATAAACAATTAGTTAAAACTATTCTTTATCATGTTGGATAACAGTTTTGTTGTTTTCCTTACTATCTTATTGCATGAAAAAAAAAAATTTCAAAGCATAATATTCTTATAACTCCTACTAAATTTTCCTTTTTGAATTATGACTTTGGATCACCACCAAGTGGTTATGGTTGCTGACTTTAAATTAAAAACTTGCCTCTCACAGTTATAGGTTTGAATCTTGTCAGGGGCTTTAAATTCTTACATATGAGGAATCTATCCAGCTAGCTTATAGAAAGTGAGTGGTTCTAATCTGGATGCTCAGGACTGAAGTAATGTACAAAAGGGAACCTATGGTCTTCCTCAAAGAAAAAAAACAGGAAAGTCATCATACGTCATTTACAGTTTTGGTGTGACTTAAAACCCAACAAAAGAAAACTTACCACTGACTGATGATTACATTAATTAATATGTAATGTTCTATTAATAGAATGTACTAATATTTTACCTTCAGATAAGGGAGAGTGGCTATAACATAATCTCTGTAACCTTCATACTGTGCACACGGGTTTCCTGTCAAGTACCTACAAGTTTAAAAAGTAAAACATGGTTATAGAACATGTAATAAGATTTTAAGAAAAGTGAACCAATTTAAGATTCCAGTAATAATTTACAAATTACATGCAATTAATCATAATTGCAGTATTAAATACCATATTTACCATAATAATATTTCTTCTGCATAACTAAAACATTAATGGCTATTTTTTGCATATTTTGACCAATTTTTGGCAATTTACATTGATTGTAAGTGCCATTTACAATGTATAAATTACTTTGTTTACTTCAACAATATTTTACTTTTAAATACATTTTCATAAAAATTAGCACGAACCTAGAGGCATGCTGCTTTAACCCAATCAATAAAATACATATACAATATATATACTTTGAGAAACAATTAACCTTTAGCCTGCTTGCAGCAAATGATTCTGTAACCAGTACAGACTAAGTGAGCTGGTACAGTAGTGCAGTCTAATCATGGTCTGCACTGTTATATAGCAGGTCAATACAGATTTTGAAATTTTCCCTCAAAATAATGAATAGTTTTGTCCAGATATACAGATGGACAAGTCCAAATAAGATATTAAGAATGGTAAATGGTTATAGATCTGTTTTCCTTCAAAGATAAAAGACAGAAAGAATACAACATCCTCACTTCAGTACTTACAGTTCATTGAAAAAGATGTTCTTTTTCAAACATTCTATACTGGTTAGCTCCCCTACAAAGTTTACTGTTAAATCCAACTTCTTTAGTGACTCACAACCTGAAAATAGTCATTATATATAATTTTAACAAAAATAACAACTGACAAAAAATTGTCAGAAAACCAGGTTTTTCTGCCAGTAGCTATTCCATATGTGAAAAACAGTAAAACAAACAATAGGTCACAATTCTGAAAAAATTAAACGTCCTATTAATATGAGCTAGAACACTTGACAAAATCATTTTTAAAGCATTTTGGAAATGAAGGAAATGCTCTAGGAATAACTTGTTTAAACACCAAGCAATCCTACTGCCAACATTCATCAACTTAATAACCAGAGTGTCCCCATGGATACCGCGATTAAAAACCACAGGATAACATATAGCGTACATGTATTTAACTCATCTCCCTGCTTAAGACAACAGCCCAGCAGAAATTCTATAAATTCACCATTGTGACATAAAGAACACACTTGAAAGTTTCAAGTCAGTACTTTCAGTGGTTAAAAGGAAATAAACAAACTGGCATGGAAATCTATAATTAAGCATTTCTAAGAAGAGGATGCCAGCACTGATAGTTATTATGACACTAAAAAGAGAATGATAGTGTCCATTTTTTTTAAATATAGGGGCCTACAAGATATACAGGTATTTTTATAACAATTGTTCAGTCTATACCTTTTAAATTCTTGGATATCATTACTAAAACCTCTTTACATTCATGTTATAAGCAGGTTCTTTTGATTATATACAAACTTCTAAGTGTTGGACATCAAGATATATATATTTTTACATATTATGAACAACAATATATATCAATTTATACACTTTAAAATAAACTACATTTATGTGGCTGCTAAAACAAGCTGTACATGATTGAAACATATTTTTTTACATAAGAATGACTTACCTTCAAGATTTTCTATGACTTCAACATTATTTAGTGCTAAATTTAGATATTCAAGTTTCTTTAATCTTCCAACATTTTCTGCAAAACAAAACATCATACATATGATACAATTAAATGATTATTGATTGTCTCTTTATATTATTTTCAACAGATTCTAAGAATCCAAGCACAAAACTTAAGATGATGAACTTACATAAAATACAGAAATAATTAATTTTGTTTAACTTGAAAGACCTCAGTTTAAAACAAATTTAAAGATATACAACGTATTCCCCTTGTAATTGTCTTCATTGATTATATGCATGTTACTTTTTTCTTTCATTTACATCCAAGATATTGTAAGTAATTAAAACACTGTGGCCAAGTATGTGGATTACTCTTCCTTGCTGTGGTTTGGATTACTGTCAAGGACTTTGGATTGTTAAATTTAACACAAGTAAAATATTCAACTAGCTTACAGAAGGTTGGTTGTTCACAGTGAACTATTTATGCTTGCAGGGGCATATGTCATAATTTTCTGTTAGTAAGGCTGGTAAGTTGCCATATATAACTTAAATGTAAAAGGCTTGTTTATATTTCTCTTGTGCAAAATCTCAAATGAACAAAAGGAAAACAACAAAGGGTGGCTGTAGCCTAGTGGTAAAGATGCCTGCCTCTTAATCCAGGGATCATGGGTTCACACCCTTCTCTGGTCCCTATCATGTTTCCTCATATTACACTACTACTAGTTATAAGTTAATTCCTGGAAATGAACTCAAAAGTGGTTCAAATAAGCTTTAAGCTAGCTCCTCTACTAAGGTTTACAAAGTATTGAGGTAAGGAATAAGATTTAAATAAAAGAAGATCACAAACCTATACGTGGTATAAGATTACTCTGCAGGTATAAAATTTTAAGTTGTCTACACCATTTATCTAAATTTTCAATTCTGAAAACGAAAATATCAAATATCAAATATTTACATTTACACTAATGACAATAGATACATGTATAAACAAGTTTTGACACAATTATACTTATTAACAGTTCATTAGACTACATGTAGTTCTTTAGGTAGGTTTGAATGTATGATTATAAACAACATATATTTGAGAATTCAATAACTTTGAAAGCAACAACACATGAAAATTGTTTAAAACAGACTTGTTCAAGTTATCATTTCATTTGATCAATTTTAACACAATATGAATTTTCTTAGTTCAACTATACACCACTTGGTCATAGGACATGAATGCCCTATATTCAATTGTTTTGTCACAGACAGTGTGACTGCAGGACAGACCTACAAATGCAAATCTGTATCCCTCCCTGCTGCAAAGTGGTGGCATAAGAAACACATCCTTGCCTGTACTCTTGAAAAGATTTTTGAAAATCTAACGAAAGAGTATTGTTTTATTTAGTATTCTCATTTTTTAAACATGAAATTTGTAAGTGTTGCATTAACTTAAATGCACAGTAAAATATTGAGGACAAAAGTCATAAATGTATCTTGTACCTTTCAATATTTTCCTGATGTAATGATAATTCCTCAAGACTGAATATCTCCCTTTCATTATGTTCTGCCTTCCTTCTGACTAGCTCTTCTGTGACTTTAAAACAAAATCAACAACAAATTAGCTCACTGAAATACTTAAAGTATGGATGTTGAATATAGAATACTTATCTGTTGTTTTGACATATAACCAGCAACTTCTACACTTAAATCACCTGAATCAGCAGTGGAGAATGAATTGCTTTGTAAGCATGGACCCTGGTCCTAATCTTATAAATATGACATTGCTTTAGATATTACTTCAGCATGCTCCCTCAATTTCAAACATTAGGGTACACTGTACATGTACCCCATATCATTTAAAATTGGTGTTAATTTATTTCAAAATTTGTGAGTACACAAAAGCTCAAACATGTTTTAATTTGTATACTTACACATGTATCTAAGATAAAAAAAAATAAGATCATGATTTAAATGAACAGATCAGGTAACTGCATTCAGCCAATATGCAGTTTAAACTATCCCAAACATTCATTTAAATTTTGATTGCTCTGACGACTTTACCCTGCATGCACACACTAATGCTATGTTTCTGCATTTTAATTGTCACAAGCAAGCCTTTCCCAGAGAAATTTTGCCAGCACAGGAAAAAGTTTTCACAAAAAATGGGGGCGAGAGTGGGAGTCCGAGTGGGTAGGACCCCCTTCCACGTTTGAAAATTTTGCTATTTTCATGTTTGATACATCAAAATCTACTGTATTTAAGAGACTTCACAAGCAAAAAAAAGAAAGATAAAAGTACATTAAACAATTTATTATACGGGGAAGTCAAAGGCTGGGTCCGTGAAGCAAGCCCGGGCTTTGGCTTGCCCGGCTATAGACTACATGTGTATACTTAAAAGAAAATCAAATAAAAAACAATTAAAGAATACATAGAATTCTATACCTATCAATGAAATTTTCAGTGTCAGTTCTAGTTGGGCAGCGTCATTTTCAATGTAATTCAATGTTAAAAGGCGGGATAATCCTGTAACTGACAATCGCAACTAAATAATTATCGTCTAGTATTCTGAGTTAAAACGGAAGCGGTGCATATAATACAGAATGACACATTTAATACGGAAAAATTAACTATTTTTTTAACCGACTTCCCCTTTCATAGGCTTTGCCTAATTTTATATTATATCTATTATCATGAAATTAAGAAACCAACACAATCACAATGAAAAAACATCATTTTATAAACAATATAGCCTTGTCCGACTACATGTATAGACTACATCAATCATCATGGAATTTGAAATTTAAAAAAAAAAAAGAAAAAAAAAAGATGTAACTTTAAATATTGACTGACTGTAAGATTAAAAAAAACAATAGTACAATCATCATTTTAACAAATGCACTAATTGAACTGTATCTATGTCTGATATTTGTTGTGCAAGTGCAATTTTTCCAAATAAGAGTCACGAATCGACGAGAGAAAAGCATAATGTGTAATTTTAAAACGTGTCTGAACAAACTGTCAATTTTTTAGACCATATTCACCATCTAAAGGGAAAACAGTAGTTGGATGTATGAAAGCTACATTTAAACTTACTTCTGACCATATTCCCTCAACAAATCTACCGCTGTGAGTCTATGTAAAGCTATAAACAGAGAAGTTTCTCGATCACAATCAAAAACAGCGTTGTTGTTGTTTTTATTGTTTACGGTGTCTACGGCAAGTTCCATTTCCGGTTTCTTTTCGCTTGTTAAAAGGGCGAAAAGACATTTTAAACGAAAAGATTTGTACGATTTAGAGTATTCTTGCAAATTTCATTCCATGGGTCAGTGATTTTGTTGTAGTTGTTTTCGCGATGGGGAGAACGCAGCAAAATTCATGTGTTATAATCCTAATCCTCCAACCCTAACAAACAACACTAACCCTAACCCTTAACACTAACACTTAACCGTAACCCTAGAACTATTTTTAGAGAAACATAAACTGATATATAAATACTGAAGAAATAATTGTGTGTAAAATGTTTAAATAGCTGCGGACATATTCTAAAGTCAGTATTTATGTAGATAAAGAGTTAAAACTAGCTGAATATATATACAAAAAATCATCATCACATTCAAGGGGGTGGGTATTTCTGATTCACTAGTACATTATATTTCGTTCTACTTATTTAAGAGTTATTAGGCTAATTTACACAGTATTAAGTAGACGGTTAATGTGTCTCTTCACTGGCCATCTGCATGACCTGGAGTCAAAAACGTTATGTGTTTTGACTGACAGGAAACTCAACAGAGGTCAAGGCTCCAATATACAAGGATTTAGTGACTTACATTTATCTTAAGCCAGTTTGTGCTAATATTTTACCCTCAATATGCCATCTTCAAGATATTTTTTTTGGCCAGGGTGTCGGGGGGGGGGGGCTTCAGCCCCTTAACCCCCCCCCCCCCGTGAACCCGGATTAAACCATTATGCCATACAATTTCCATGTAGGTGACATTTTTCTCATCCTGTGACATATACGGACAATTGTTTTCCGATTCCATTGATATATATTTTTTCAATGTAGTTCTTTTCCTGCTGTTCTTGTAGAAAACATGACACAACATTACAATGTATTTTCATCAAAATATCGTCGAATTATGAAAAAAACTTCTGCAAGCATACAGTAACGCAAAAAAGTGAATGGGCTACAATGAAAAGTTATGTACCATTTGAATCGGCAAATATTTGCTTGGAATATGATGTATCTTTATTATTCAAATATTGTAGATAAAATGAAAATTTTGCGGCTATTATTATCGATGATCCAAAGTAACCGTTAACAAAACTGTCACGTGATCACTGATCCTGTTTGTATACTGTAATGTTTTCCTGATGTCATGGAAATTAATCTTCATGATTATCTGTGGCACAATCTACTTTGCTCTTACTGCTAATGCTTAGAAAGGGAATTGAAATTTTGAATATCGTCCAGTTTCAAACAAAGGCGTTTTGACTTACGAGTACATCTTTATTTAATAATACATATTAGAGTTTTGAGGACATCGGATGATGTTGAATTTAGAAGCCATTTTCGATTTATAAGATTGATCTGATACAAATTCTGCAATGTAGAATATACATGTAACATAGGTAGGGAAATATTGCACACATTTTGGACCTGTGACATAATTATTTCTTTCTAAAAACGAGTCAGGCGACATCATGAAAATCACAAGCCAATGTACATCGTGTGGACCCAAGCAAGTTCATGTTTTCAGGGCTTCATTGATACATATGAATGATTAAATGGTCTTACATTGTATTGACACCTAAATATTTTACTTAAAACTCTGCTAACTTAACCTTTACTAGCAAATATCGATAAATAAGTTATGTGTAATGGAATGCACGATATTACCATGCAAGAACAAACGCAAATGATTATACTGTTCTGCAGAAACATATGGCGAGGAAGTGGCGGAGTGTCCTAAGTACCATAGCATAGATTCATGCATGTTATTAAACATATTGGAGATTACTATATCAAGAGGTTTGGCGGACATGGTAGTAGAGTTGTGAGTGGATGTGTGACCCCAGTGCGATGTCATATAACCATTCTTCGAAATGAATAACCTTTTGTAAGACATTATCCATGAATGAAAGGGAAACAACAACAGCGTGTTTTTAAAACAACTTATTTTGAAAGAAAATGTCTGTCTTCAAGACGAAGGCATGACCTTTACCGCAAAGAAAGACACTTTGACAATACGTCGCCAATTGGTTACAGAAAGGAACCGGTATTACGTTTTTCCATAATTATGTGTTCGTCAGGGTCGCGAGTATAAATAAACGCATCAACAACACAACCGAAACGCGAATTCTGTCTTTTATTTTGAATTAAAAAACGTTATTAGTAATGCCAGTAAAGTTATATATTCTAAATAATGAATAAACACACTTTAATCAAAAGCTGTTGGATATCATGTTTAATAAAATAAAATTGGTTATCAGTTTCGCTTTTTAACCTGTATTGATAAGAGATTACCTGTAAAGTGATATATTATTGTTTATCAATCAAGGGTTTAAAATGAATTTAAAGGGTTTAAGAGATTCCTAGTGAAAAAGATAATAATGCAGAGGAAAACAGCTAATGACTTCAGCTTGTACGAGGACAGTAAAGACAGAAATTAAGTACTTTAATCCTAAACTTGCGGGAACAAAACACGTTTAACAGGCATCCGCCACCAGAAAAGAGCCAGGCCAGCGTACGCATCGATGTAGTCTGAGCAGACTCTATACTGTTGGTAGCTCATAACTCATTTTTAAAAGCCTTGAATGGACTGTTCCGAATTTAAAGATAGGCGAATCCATTACATAAATTCAGCAGATTTAAGGTTAAACTTGAGGACGCACCATACCATATTAAGTCAGGAATTCGGTTATAAATTACTTTAAGCACAGACGCATGTTTAATCATCAATGTTTACTGAACATTTAAATGCATGTGGTTTGATTAAACAAGTTTCGAACATTTGTCCCTTAAATACGGTCAATGTAATCAATTCTTTCGATTCAATCTTCAAAGATTTTTTAAGACTTTGAAAAAACATTAGATCTCCAAAGTCTTTGGAAAGACTAATATTTATTCAGGGTTTATTTTGATATTAATTTGCAATATAGAAAAGTTGAAGATTGTTCTTTCGTGAATTGTGTCAAATTTTCTAATCAAGTGTAAACATCTCATGTTCTGACTTTTTGACATCTGTTTGATTAAGAATTATTTTATCAACACTACCGGTCTGGTGAGAAGAGAAATAAGAGGGCCTCTCAAAATGTGTGTTACAGAAGATGAAACGTTGTTTAGCTTGGATAAGTCAAACGAAATTTGAAAATACAGGGGTCGGTTTGATTTATTTTTAGTTTGCTGTTGGTGCATATCCCTTTATTAATATGTCCAAAATCATTATTTTCTTTTAGAACTCATGGAAACATCACGCGAATTAAGTGTAAAAAGAAAATAAAAAATAGGTATACCATAAATGCATAGATACATTGTATATCTATCATAATTTGTATCATTTTTTATATATAATTATTTATCTCATTAAGGATTACGGACCCCGGACATCTCGATCACATTCTAAACGAGCATGTTACCCCTGGACCACGGACTTTCAATAAAGATATAAAGAAAGGGTCAGAAACAAACAAAATGATTCTAAATTAAGAATTTCCTCAGTAACCTTGCTTGTACCAATCACTGCATTGTACTAAATAATACAAAATGCAAATTTACTTGCCTTAGTAGCCGGCATCGAATCTCATCAGCACCTCATCGGTATAAGTAAGGCTACCTCAAGAGGCCTTCACTTTTTTCTTTTATGAGTTATAAGCTCTCTCTTTCTCTCTCATTGTGTTTTAAACTCGTCTATTCAAATAATACAGAAAGCTATTCAACTCCCCCGTCGCCGGCGCCAACGTCACCATCCCACTTTGGTAAAGTTTTCGTAAAAACAACTGAAGGGAATGACTTGAAACTTTACAGACTTATTTGAAAACATGATAAACCGTCACCGCCCAAGGCTCATAACTTTAACATGATATTTTTTTACAAAATGAATATGGCCCCTTTAAAACTTCTAAATTCTACATTATCCAGACTCTTGTTTTATTATCAAGCATTGAAAATAGTCGAGCACGCTGTCCTGCTGAAAGCTCTTGTTTTTATGCGTTTGTTGTTCTTTATATACATATATTCTATGTTTAGAAGCTATTCAGTTATCCTTTTAACGATTCCCCCAGCCAACCTTTAAAATGAATGAATAAATAAAAAAATAAGGGTAATTAAAAAAAGATAAAGAAAATAAATAATAAAAAATGGAGAAATTAGGAAAACAAACTTATACGGAAAATTGTTCTGTTCTGTTTTTCAAAATATAACATATGAACACTTCGCCGACTTCCCGATATAACCTAAGTATATTAGAAAGAGCAAAGATCTTGCATTTGATAAAAGAATGAGAAATATTAATCAATAAGCGTACATTTTAAGAGGCCCACATATTTGCAGAAATTTACCCGAGGTATAAGGTTATCCAAAACAATGCCAGTTTGGCAAGTCACGATAAAATGTTGAATTAATGATATAAATATTATTGTAGTTTTACTTATCTTATACATGTAAATTAAATGTTGAACATTTTAAACTCTAAACATTTTTTTAATACTTTGCCATTAGCATGCAACATAATTAAAGGCACAAATACTCAAGGCATATCTAGAAACATTTTTGGGAAAAAGAGTAGTTTTAATTAACAAATAAAGTGATGTAAACATATTAGGATTTACCTTAGCGTGTGATTTTTGTGCCGTGATATACAATTTGATTATAACATCTTTAAAGAGTTAACAGAAATGGCGCGAATCCACACGATGGAGGACGATATAACGTTTGAACGTGTACGTCATTTACCGAAACGCACACGTGTATGTAGCATGCACCGTCAGTTGTCATGGGCGTTTCAGAAAGAAATTCAAATGTTTGAAAAAGAGACAAAAGTCACTACAAACAATTTAGAGCGGTCAAAAACAGCGATGCAAGGCCGGTTCCGTGAACTTAACAATGTACGAAAAAACCTTCGCAAAAATACGCCTGATTTGATGAGCAGACGAAGAAGTTGTCCAGCAGTTCTTGATGAGAGCAACCTTAAATCTTTGTCACTTTCGAGAAATGATTTAAAGAACACA